GTCCCGGCTCAGGACTTCCAGGGGGCCGTCGCCGCTCGGGGTGTCTAAGGCCGGAAACCTGGTCCCTGTTCCCCGACCCCGAACTTACCCACAGAAACTGTAGAGAAAACATTTCAGAGGAGGGGATATGCGAGTCGGACCTAGATATATAAACAAAATAAGTTGCTACCCATCCGAAAGAGGAGGGGTATCCGCCTAATTCTGTCGGTTCCTGGTGGCAGGAAGCAAGGGTAGGGACAGTCAAAGAAGTACATGTAGGGCGGTCCTGTTCCCAATCCACCCCCCATCAACTTGGGGGGGAGGAGGGGAAACCTGCCACCCAATGAGTCAGGTACCTCTCCGCTGGAGTACCTCCGGGAGGATGCAGCTTGGCGGGAAAGTCCATCACGAGGGTTCAGGTGTCTACCTCCTGGTCTTTCAAAATAAAGTAGAGCACAGCAAAGTACCTGGAGGGAACAAGTGACAGTTACTTATGAAGGGGGCAACGGTATAAGAAGGGGTGCGGTTCAGAAGGGGTATAGTAGCAGTGAGAATTAGGCCTCTCGGGCATTCGGGGGTCCAGTACGGGGCCCCGTCCTCCTAGTATTGGTACGAGGACTGTTGGAGACACCGCCTGATGATCTTGGTCGGTAGGGAGTGGTATTCCGGGGGAGGGGGGGGCATCTCGGTTGCGTGAGTGCACTCCAGTCGACTCCAGGGAGGGGTGTAGCCAGTCCGGGACCGCGACACATTCAATCTCCAAGAAGGTGAATAAAGCAGGTAAATCCGCAGGAGTCTTCAATGTAAAGGTCATTTCCGATTTCCGAACTACCAGATGGAACGGAAAACCCCATCTGTAGGTCGCACCCGAGTGCCGTGTAGCCTCCAGTAGCGGTCGGAGTAGACGCCTCATAAGTAGGTTACGCCTGGAGAGATCCGGATAGAGCTGGATAGTCGCACCATCGAAGTCCAATGGACCTTTACGCCACGCACATTGCATATTGTCATCCTTAACAGCAAAAAAATGTATTCTGCAGATCACATCCAGGGGATCGCAAATCCCCTTTGCGATCCCCTGGAGAAAAATCTTCATGAAGGTAAGTAATCTTGCAAAGACAATGGGAGAGACTTGGCAGATGACGGTGGGGAGAGACGCATCAATTTTTCCCTGGAATGTGGTTGTTGCTTTTTCATCAACAGGGCCTCACATTCCAGGTAGGAAGGCAGCTCAGCCGGGGAAGTGAAGACACGTTTGTCGCCCTCATGGGTATGGAGATGAGGAATCGCTGGATAGGCCAAGGAAAAGCAGATTTTCCTCCGATAAAGAGACTTACTAATATTCGCGAACGCCTTTCTCTTCCAGCTAACTTCAGCTGAGTAATCGGCTAATAGCAAGATGTTGTGTCCAGTCAAATGAAGTGGACGAGTTGAGGTAAGCTCTTAGACACACCATTTTGTCAGTATAATCCAAGTGACGGACAATGATGGGGCGTGATTGCTCAGAGTGTTGTTGGTCGGGCGCTCAAGCGGCGCGCCCTCTCCACCTTGTAATCTCCAACGAGGCCTAATAGCGTTGGTAGAGTGTGAGAGCACAGGGAGTGTAAATCCACCAAATTGTAAATTCTTCAGGTCATCGATCTTATCCAGGAGAAAAGATTGCTTTTTAGTGAAGGTTTGTATATGAGAGTTCGCGTTGGCCAGCTCATCCTCCAGGAGCGCGATCCTATTAGCCGTTTCAGTTAGCCGCTGCAATTGTTCCAATAGCTTGTGTTGTAGGGACTAGATACCCTTGAATACTGCAGAATCCACTGCTTCCCGGATTGTCGGTTTCAATATTTTAGCCACGGCTGCTGCAATTTGCCTAGGGTCAATCGCCAAATCTTCAGAGCCGGAGTCTTCCATAAGATCGGGAGAGGTAGGTGTGGAAGAGGGCGTAACATAAGCACAGTCAGAATGAGTGCTCTTTTTCCCAGCACAATATCCGGAGCAGGAATTATGCCCGTGGGCCAAAGCTCTCTACATGTGCTGCCACTTCTTTGGGCGCCGGAAACGGAAGTCCTAAAAAAGCTTTTTATCTGAATAAAAAAATATAGTCTCACATAGTATGAAGCCCAAGAGTCAACTATATGGGGGTCTTTGAAAATAGTTTTAGTATTGCAGTAGTAGTAGTGCAGTGTGCAAAGTGGAATAACTGGTGGCAGATTGTAATGTTTTTAGGGAGTGTGTGTTGGAGGGGGGATTTGCTGTACTGCTGTGCAGTCTGTACTGTATAGCACAGTCTGTACTGTATTTCAAGAGCCAAGCCCCAAAAGAGGCCTCTGGGATACCCCATTTTTTGTGAATCACATTGGTGTGTCCCAGGTGTTGCATTTGTAACCACCATTATAATGTACTCTGTAAGCATGCATTTATGAACAATAACAACCTAACATAGGAAGATTGGAGAGAACTGGATTCATTTGGCCAGTGTGATAGAAAACGTATTGGTCTTTTTAACGTGTATTTAATTAGTACAGAAAATATGTATCTACAGCACGTGGTGAATTGGTGCATTATGCCACTATGTAATTATAGAAAATTAACCAGAACACCTTGGTATAGTGATACTTTTGTAATTTTTTTCTCATAATGCAACAGGCATCACAAACCAATGGTTTGGGGCATGGAGGTCTTTACACCATTGTTATTCAATGGGGTGAGAAGGAGCGGGCTATCAGGGATTTTCACATTGGAGGAAAGAAGTGTTTAATTGGAGATACCAAAAAATGTAATTGTTGGGCAGATCTAGTTTACTCTGTAGAGTTGGGAAGGGTTTGATTCCCCATCCGTAGTGTTTTATTGGTCTTTGTGGCTCCTTTAGCTTGCCACATCCCAAATAAAATTCAGATGGGAAGGTCAGGTTGTGAAGAAAGGCCATTAGTGGTTTACTCTGCCCCAAACCTGCGTAGTATGTTTTACAATTGGGGTTCAAAATGCGATACCGTGCCTGCAAAGATAGACCAGGAGAGGCTGTCAGTCCCGAAGGGATCACAGTCAGTAGCTTCCAAGGCTACCCAGAGAGGTGTTTTCTGTGTAGCGTGATATTTAGGTACTTGCTGGGCACCCTGATATTTAGGGATGTACCGATATCCATACCGGTATCGGTGCCGATACTAGGTATTTTCACGAGTACCCGTGAAAGTCCCCCGATACCAAGCGTTGATACTGGCACTTTACATTTTACGTCCCCAGCAAGGTCCCAGCAGCCTTCCTGTGAATTACGGTACCTGCTTACAGTGCCGGACGAAAATCTCCTCCTCCTTCCTGCAACCCAGCTGGCCGCACCCGCCGAGACTGGCCGGGACACCTGGTGACAGCTTGAAGCCACACCATTATAAAATGAAAGGCAAAATCAAAGTGGTATGAACATGAGGGGGTAATGTTTAAACATTCCACCCAGCGAAAAACTGAGCGAATGCCGTTCACATGGCAATACTGTACAGTGTGGCAATGCACAGCCCACCATAGACCCCACTGAGCCCACTATAGACCCTCTGCAGCATCCTAAGACCCTGCATAGCTCTCCATAGACCTTGCGCAGTGTCCTAAGACCCTGCACAGCCCACCATAGACCCCACACAGCCCACCATATATCCTGCACAGCTCCCTGAGATCTTGCACAGCCCACCATGGACCCCACACAGCCCACCATAGATCTTGCACAGCATCTATTGGTTTTATTACCTATGTATCCACATATTGTGCTCTGATCTTAACTTTGCCTATATAGATAGCTGTCAGTATGAATCATTTGTTTAGGGTTACAAATACAAGTCACCTATATTTGTCCTGTAATACTAAATTAAATCCCTTCTACTGGTTTTGATGGGGACTAATTATCCTAATAGAGATAATACATCCATGTGTTAAAGGGTCAGCCCACCCAAAATTGATATTTCACTTCTGGGTAGCAACTGTGTTTGATCCCCATCGGCTTTGTATTTATTTTGGAATTTCAGTGGAAAAATCTCTGTTACTGGAATTTCAAGGTCCAACCACATTCTGTGGTCATTTATATGGGTGTCTTAATCACACAATCATATTCTACATATTTGTTTATCCTATACTGGATTTTATGCATAATTCACAAGTGGGGCTTTTTTCTCTGGGGGGAGCAACTGGAAGCTTTGGAGGGAAATTCCTGCTGATGGCATACCCAAGAAAATTGTTGGGGATTTGTCCCACCATCCCCTACCCACACACAAAATATAACAAATTTGGGCAAATTCAATGTACATATATCAGATAAGGAATTTGGGTTGCTACTTGTGGTCTTCTTCTGAAAATGCTAGTTGACTGCCTTTAATACTTTAGAGTCACTGACCCACAACAAACTTGCAGCATAGGGAAAGTTGGAATTACCCATCTCTATTCTTATTCCAGGTAAGTGACTAAGAAAATACTAAACCCTAAACATCAGCATGACAGTAAGACCACTAGCATTTTCAGAAGGAGAGGTAAGCAGTGGAAAACTAAACATTTTTTTCATTGCTTCCAGGTTTCCCTTAAAGTAACCATATCAGCACAGGGTTACTTTGTATATTAACACATACCTGTAATAGATGGGGCAGCGTTCTTACCTTTCCGGCAGTCCATTTGTTAATTTGACTCTTGTTTGCCTCTCTTCGGCTGTTGCAAGTATTCATCTGTCCAGATGGGTCGAATACCTGTTTCCCCCTTTTACATGCAGTGTTTTCTCCCTACGACCCTTCTGGCTAGTCGTATATTTGCAGCGGCCAGGGAGAAGCAAGGAGGCAGCATATCAACACACAGGCTGCTGAAAATGTAAATAGATTTCCTCTTTTATTACAGGTATGCACAAACATACAAACTAACCCTTTGCTGACGGGACATTTTTTAATGCATGCATTCTTTTAAAATGGTACTAGCTGGGTATTACCAGATGCATGATATCACATTTTCCTATTGTTATATGCTAGTAATGAAAGCTTCTTTAGATAACTGCAGTTGTTGTCCCTTAGACCTGAGCTGGTTGTGAAGAAATTGCGTTACTATGCCCGCTTCATCGTCGTCTGTCTGTTACTCAATAAAATGGATGTTGTTAAAGACCTAGTCAAGGTAATTGATGGCCTGTAAAACTCTGTGATTTATGTATTGCTCATGTATTGTGTCACTCTGATATACTTCTTGTTGTCTTGTCATTTGGAAATTGTGTACGTGTTTATCTGCCATATTATGTTTTAATTATTCAACTTTTGTGTACTGCTTCCTTCCAATATTATGGGATTTGACATGTTAAACTATAAGAAAGTGCACCTCTGGTTGTGTATTAAATATTAATATGAAAAAAGAAGGGTAAAGAAAATGTGGTGAAGAAAAAAAAAGTCTTGATCATACAGGACACAGGCCAAATCAGAGATGACTGGGAATATAGCGGTGTTATCAGGTGAATGAACACTGGCCAGAGCTGTTGGAGACCCCCCCCCCCACACACACACACACACCATGATATCCTCAGGTTTTGCTAGTGTCCTTAAGTGATGGACATGTTTTCTTTGAGAGGATGTTAAGTTATCTTACCTTTTGGGATGTCTTTAATCAAGGTTCTGGCTTGCGTTCAGCCACTATGGCAATGGTGCAGCCTTCCGGATTGGCGTCCCATGGCTGGAACTTCAGGGACCGTACCTGAACCCCACAAGGACAATGTTAGGAGATGTGGGGTCAGCCTGTAATGTCGCTTTGGGCTCTGGATCCTGCTCGGGCACCTACTTTGCTACTTAGTGCAGTGAGTTGGGTTAGCTGCAGTGTGCTATACAGGTCCAGATACCCTGAAGACCCCTTCTGGGGTAAGCTCCTCTGAAATGAGTGAAGAGTGGTGATTCCTAGCCCCTGGTAATTCCTCCCTGTTTCCTCTAACCCGACACTTTCTTCCACTGGCTCACCCACTGAGCCTGCCTAGCCTTTTTACCCTCTTGTTATCCGGCCCAGACTAGTGCTCCCCACTATCTCACTGCTATCTCCTCCACCTTGTAATACCCCTTTTTTGGGCTTCTGCTCTCCTTCATCCTGGAGGGGGGTCATGGGGGTAAATCTCCATAGCTGCTTGGAGACTCCAACGACCATATTGCTGGGGCCTCATGTCGACTGCATATGTGGGGCCATGGCGCATGCACACGGCACCTCTAGCGGCCATCTTGCCATAGTCTGCAGCATTGTTGCACATTTGTGCGGTAAAGCTTGAGGTAATCTCATGTGAGTGGTATTTAGAGCAGCCATCTTGTAATGTGGAGGAACAGATCAGGGCAGGGAGGTGCCAAGAAGGGAGGATCCTCTACCTTTTAAATTTGTGCATTGGCAGTAGCGCCAAGCAGGCTGGAGGGTCAGTTTACCCAGAGGGACAGAGTGTGGCTGGCTTGAAATTTATTCAGATCGCTGAGGCACTGGTCAGAGGAGTGCCTGATTTTGTGAGTACCCTTGGGGGACCCCTCGCTATGGCTGAATTAGGACACAATGAAAATGGGGAGAAGAGAGGGTCCAGTACCGCAACTGCTAGTGGGCATGGTGAGTTACATGAAGTTTCCCCTGAGGACTCTGTTATAGACAATATGTCTGTTAGTGCACCTTTTAATTATTTGCCCTCTATTGTATCTACTAATTTGACCCATGACTCTCATTCTTACTTTCTTAGTAACGAGAACTTTGCGGTTTCTATGTCACTTTCATGGGCCCGATTTCAGCCATGGTTGAGGTGTCTGGTCGCTGGGGCCATAAACTAAGTCCTACTTCTCCTGCTCAATGTGACTCTGTCAGATGAGGCTGTTGCTCACTACCTATTTCCTGAGGAGGGTGAGGTGTTAGAGGAAGGATCCTCTTCTGACTTGGAAGTATCATCCTTGGAGGAAACACCCTTGGCTATGATTTCGCCAAAACTGCACAATACGATTTCCGTACTCACTGGTTTGTTGAGGGAGTGCCTTTCTGTTGATCCTCCTGTGGCTGATCGGCCAAAGGTCACAAGTATGGGTTCCTTAAAAAAGAAAATACTTTTCTGGTACATTCTCTGGCAGGGGATCTTTTTTTATGCCGATTGGGAACAATTGGAAAAAAATTTAAACTTCCCAAGTGGTTTCCTCAGAAATACCATTTTGAAGAGTCTTTTCTTAAAAAATGAGTGGTTCCAGAGGTAGATGCAGCTATTTCTTGCTTCAATAAGTCTCCCGCAGTTTCATTCGAGGATGTTCCTGCCTTTAAGGATGCAGTAGAGAAATGCCTTGAGGGGTTATTTTAAAGCTTCTTTTTTCATGGTAGATCCTACCTTGCAGCCCTTGGAGGTTTGTGAACCTATGGCAGTTTGGACAAGGCGTATGGCCAGGGATCCTAGAGGGTGCCTACAGATCCTAAGGCCTTGAGAAAGCTGGAACTGCTTCTGGGTTATTGTGCAGGCGCTTTACCTGACATAGTGCACCAAATTTAAAGACTGGGGCTTTTTTCAGCACAGATGCGTAGGCTCCTGTGGCTTAAGTACTGGTCTGCGGAAACTGCTTGTAAGAAGCGGCTGGAGAAAATTCCATTTACAGGAGAACATCTTTTTGGATAAGGTCTGGATTAATTAAAAAGGTTACAAGAGGTAAAATCATGCTTTTGCCCAGCAAGTGGGGACCTGGGGATCCTGCAGTAAAGCCAGGCTCTGGGCCCATCCAGAAAGGTGTCCAGTTCGGCCTCTACTAGGCAGAAATCAATTGCCCAGTCAAAACATTCCAAACCTGGTCCTATTTCCTCGCAATTAAGGGGCATCCCGACAATTTTATCGGGTGGGGGGGATGATTGAGGATGTTTGCAGCCATTTGGATCCAGGAAGGTTAAGAAATCTGGGTCCAGTCTCTGGTTTCTCAGAATTACAGGCTGGGATTTCTATCCTTCCCTCCACCTCATTTCAAGTCTTCCAACCTTCCAGTGTCTCCGATGAATGCAGAAGCCTTTAAAAGGGCTCTTCAACAGTTTCTAACCACGGGGGTATTACTTAAGTGCCACCCCAGTGAAGATTTTAAGGATTCTATTCGAACCTATTCCTGGTACCCAAACCAAACGGTGGCGTTTGTCCTATTTTAGGCCTAAAAAGCATGAGCAAGTTTCTAAGGGTGTGCACGTTCTTTATGGAATCCATCCGTTCTGCCATTACTTCATTGCAAGAGGGGGATTTCCTTGTGTCAGTAGACATCAAGAATCCTATTTGCATGTCCCTATTTTTCCTCCTCGTTGATTTGGCCGGGGAGACTATCACTTTCAGTTTATAGCCCTCCCCTTTAGCCTGCCCACAGCCCCTCAGGTTTCACAAACGCGTCGGCACCAGTTCTAGTCCTTTTACATTCTCATGGAGTACATGTGGGTAGGTTCAATCTCCTTTTTAGGGCCCCATCCGAGATAGAGGTGGTGGTGGACCCTCACATGACACTTCACATGTTACAACATTTTGGCTGGGATTTAAACCTTCAGAAATCATTTTTGGTTCCCATTCATCACTTGCAGTATCTGGGACTTACCCTGACACGGTCAGGGACAGGGTATTTCTTCTTTCAAACAAGCTTAAGTCCTTACAAGCATCAGTTCTAGTTCTCTCTTTAGTCTCTCACATTCTCCCTTTAGTGCATTTCTGCATAGGGGTCCTGGGCATGAAGTTTTTCTCCTTTTGAGGCAGTACCTATCTCTCACTTAAGGTTCACTCAAGACCACTCAAGCTGAGCATCTTGACTGCATGGGACAAGCAGCCTCACTTGCTGGATCACCCTACACACAGTTCAGCAAAGGCAAGGCTGTCACTGAGGTAGTGGTTAGCCAGTCTGGTGCAGGAGTCAGGGAATTTGTTTCGGACTATCCAGTGGATGATCCTGACTATGGATGTAATAGTTGGGGAGGAGTTCTGGGTCATCTGTCAGTGCAGGCAACATGGAGTTCGCAGAAGTCAACGTTGCCTATCAATGTACTGGCATTAAGGTGCAATCCACCTATCTTTTCATTACAGGTCTTGTCTTCTCTGAGGAAGGCTGGTGAGGGTCCAGTCCAACAATGCCACGGTAGTGGCATGCATCAATCATCAGTGGGGCTCATAAAGCTGTGCGGCTCAAAGGCATTTGATACGGCACCACACAAGCGCTTACTTCACAAGCTAAGGGATATGGGCATAGATGAGGTGGTGTGTACGTGGATAGAGAACTGGCTACGGGAACGTGTCCAGAGAGTATCTGTAAATTGCACAATAACTCCTTTACTAAGACTAAATGCCACCACCTAAAGTTGGTGGAGAAAAAATTCCAGCACAATGGGCGAAGAGGGTTCTTTACAGTAAGAGCGGTTAAGGTCTGGAACTCACTGCCATCGGCATTGATTTCAGCCAAGAGTGTAGATTTGTTCAAGAAACTTTTGGACAATTTCTTGAGGGACCGTAATATCCAGGGATACCAGTATCCCTAAGAATGAGATGATGCGTGGACCTATATGGGTTGGACTTGATGGACGTATGTCTTTATTCAACCCCAAATACTATGTACTATGTAAAGGGAAGCAGAGCATATCCTGAAATGGACAGAGGTTTAGGTGCTGGCCTTGTCAGCCATGTACATTACTAGGGGTGGAGAACTGGTACGTGGATTTTCTCAGTCAACAGCAGCTGGATCTGGGAGAGCGGTTCCTAATTCAGGAGTTTTTTCAGCAGAGCTGTCAGTAGTGGGGGACACCAGATATACATCTTCTGGCTTCCAGATTCAGCAAGTTGAACAGGTTTCTATCAAGACCAGGGATCCAAGGGCATTTGCAGTAGATGCCTTAGTGATATTGTGGGACCAGTTTTCCCTAATCTAAGCCTTTTCTCAGCTGAAGATTCTGCCTCATCTTCTGCGCATTATAGTTGTGGAGGGTATTCTGGTAATTCTGGTAGCACCCAGTTGACCCAGAGAAGCCTGATTCACAGCAGATGCTTCTTGACGGTTTCTGAATCAACCAGACTTTCTGTAGCAGGGTCCAGTACTCCATCCTGCTTCTTAGTCACTGGCTTTGATGGCATGGTTGTTGAAGCCCAAGTCCTGAGGGATAGACTGTATTAGTGGAGTTTTGGCTTTTCTTCA